TAGTAGGGTCAGCAAGATAGCTCAGCAGTCTAAAGCACCTGCTTAGGCAAGCTTAGGCAACCACAGGGACCAAGGTTCAATCCCAAGCACCACATGCCGCTCCAGCCCTGACCCCAGGGTAGGCTGAGCCAGCCAACGAGCCAGCCAACCAGCCAGCCAGCCAGCCAGCCAGCCACACACACACACACACACACACACACACAATCAGTTTTTAAAATTATTTTTCTTAAAATGATCTTTTTTCCCTAGTAAAAAGCAGCAGCATCTGCCTGGCAAGCACAGGGTCCTGAGTTCAATTCCTGGTCTCAAAAAAAAAAAAAAAAAAAAAAATCAGGACACATGCTTAGGAAATAAAGGGGGGCTGTGGTCAATGGTAGATGGGATCAATTTTCCTGGAAATGTATACATAGGAACTGAGATGGTGGTGAATGCCTATAATTGTAGTACTCTGGACGGCTAAGAAAGGGAAATAGAAAGTTTAAGCCCAGGCTGGGAAATTTAGGGAGACTGTCTTAGTTATTTTTCTTGGTTCTGGGACAAAGTGTCCTATACTCACAAGTTAAAGGAGGAAACTTGTTTCATCTCACAGGTTGTAGTGGTTTTCCACCTCATAGTTGGCCAGCTCCAAGCCAGAGGAGAAACAGTCCTCGGCAGGGCAGGCAGAAAGCAGTTAAACAGCAGTGAGCCTGCCTCCCATCTGTCCCTTTGTATTGCATCCAGGGTACTAAGCAGCTCAGCAAGGGCCAGGGTCCTCACTTTGTGAACATCCAAAAGTTTGGCCTGCTTACAATATAAAGGAGGAAAAGAGGCTCACTCCCCCCACTTTTTACACTTGTTGAGTTGCTGTCTTCCACCAACATGAACTGTTACCCCTCAGCCATGCCAGCGTGCCTTGGGGCCAGTTAATTATAGAATGAAATGTTCACAAACTGTGAGCTAAATAAACCTTTCCCTCTTTAACTTGGGCATCAGGTATTTTGTCTCAGCAATGAGAAAAGTAACCAAGACAGTTGGTATCACTTATACCGAGGGTAGGGCTTCCCATTATCCACACTCAAAACTACGTTAAATCAATTTAGTTGTCACACACCCTTGTCCATATTTATATACCCCACATGCCACCAGCTCCAAAGACCCCACCAATGAGTGCCTGAGGCTCCAGGGGACAGGATATATAAGCCATAACAGACTCTGACTCAAAAGGGCTAGAGGTAGAGCTCAGTGTGAAGGCCTTGATGTAAATCCCCAGTATCAAATATATATATATATATTTATGAAAGCACATAGGATACTTGGTAAGCCAGGTCTAATACAGATGGGTATCATTGTTCACAGCTGTAATCCCAGCACTGAGGAGGCTGAGGAAGGAGGATGAGGACTGTTTCCAATTTGAGACAGCCTGGGTTACGCAGTGAGTTCAAGATTAGCCTAAAGTACATAGTCCCTGTCTCAAAAAAGAAAAAAAAAAAAAGAAAGAAAAAAGAAAAGAAATTAAGTTCAGTATAAACAAATTGTACTTTATTCTGAAGACATTAGGGAGGCACCCTAAGTGTATAGACTGAGAAGGGATGTGGTCAGATAGACCACATCTTTCGAAAGACACATCTAAGAACAGAATAGTATGGAGAGGAAAGACAGGCACAGATAGATGACTACATCAACTTTTTTTTTTTTTTTTGGCGGAACCAGGGATTGAACTCAGGCCCTTGTGCTTGCCAGGGGAGCGCTTATTCCACTGAGCCATCTCCCTGGCCCCTTACATCAACTTCTGAAAGGATCAAAAGAAGACCAAATGGTTATGGATGGATTTAAGCATTTATTTATTTATTTGAAATGGGAGTCTTGCTTTGTAATGCAGGCTGGCCTGGATTTTGTAGAAAGGCTCCTGCCTCAGCCTCCCAAGTGCTACGATTACAAACATATACCATCATACCCAGTTTACTGCTATTTTTAAAAGACTGCTGTTGGGAAGGCATGTGGATAATTGTATAAGGAAAGCCTTTTAATCCTCCCTAAAAATTTAAATACGGAATATTTAAGGAAAAACCATGTTGGTGTCATAGTTTTGGGGTTTTGCAAGGGGAACAATATAATATGACATATTTTGTAAGATTATTTTATAATGAATCACCCAAAGAATCATACAAAAACTGCAGGAAATCTGTCCACAAACTAAAGACCAAAACATCCAGTTGAGGAGGCTGATGAGATAGCTCAGTGGTCTAAAGTGCCTGCTTAGGCAGGTGCAGGGACCCTGGTTTGATCCCCTGCACAACATGCTGTATCAGCTCCACCTCCAGGGTGAGCTGAGCCAGCCACAAAAAAAAAAAAAAAAAAAAAAAAAAAAAAAAAAAAAAAAAAAAAAATCCAATTGAAGGCCTGGATCCCATTATAATGTCCTGCATGAGTCCAGATGAAAACTTAGAGCTCACAATGCCTCTCCGGTGTCCAAGTGGAGGCCGAGAGCTCACGACAATGCCTCATGCAGGCCCCCTTCATGGATCTGCACTGGGAAGGCCCAAAGGTCAGTGGTGGAAGCCAGAGAGTCTATGTCAGTGGGAAGAATAATCTGTGCTAGCTGGCTGAGCGATCTCTGAACTGGATCCAGGAAGCAACGCTAAGCAGAGTGCCTCTGAAAAGTACAACAGCCATCCTCTGCAATAGCGCGAGGTCTCAAACTCCTCCGAAGGTGAGAAAAGCTGAGTTTTCATCAGAAAAGCCAATTTGACCAGCTTCTCCTAGAGGTTGAGCTGTGCACCATCTTCCCCTCCAGAGTCTGGAAGCAATACTCAAAGTGAAGACTAGAGCTCCCCAGTGTGAACCATGGTCATCTTCAGTGACAACATCCCGAGCTCCTCCTCTAACAAGAACAACCAAGTTCACCAGGAAAGCCAGCATGACAAGATCCTCCAGCAGAATACCAATCAGCAGCTTACAACAGCATCCCTAACAGCTTCTCCAGTTCTGCCTCTTACGCTCCTGACAACAAGCCTCACGTGGACCTCCGACACTCAGCACCATGCTAGTTCAGTTCAGCTGGGTGTAACAAGGTGACCATCAGTTGTCATTCCATCACAGTAAAGATAAGTATGCATTATCATTTTTTTTTTCACTTCAACTTTATTTGCGAGTAAAAATATGGAATGCTTCACGAATTTGCGTGTCATCCTCGTGCAGGGGCCACACTAATCTTCTCTGTGTCGTTCCAATTTTAGTATGTGTGCTGCCAAAGTGAGCATAGTATGTATTATCATGTGATTCAAATTTTTAATATTCTAGCTACAGTGGTACATGTCTATAGTCCCAGCTTCTGGGGAGGTGGAGACAGGAGGATTCCCCTGAGCCCAGGGGTTTGAGGCCAGCCAGGACAACATAGTAAAACCTCCTGAAAATACCCAAGCAACCAAACAAAAAACAACAGGCTGGGGATATAGTTCAGTGGTTCAGGGCTTCCCTCTTAGCATGTGCAAGGCCTGGGTTCATTCTTTGTCACTAGCTGGGCATAATGGTGCATGTTTGTAATTCCAACATTTTGGAGGCTGAGGCAGGAGGATCGTGGCAAATTTGAGGCTACCCTCGGCTACATAGTGAGTTAAAAACAAAACAAAACCCTCTGGCATGGGTGGGGGGCAAGCATGCAAGAAATATTTATCAAATCTTGTGTAACCTAGATATTATTCTAGGTTTGGGCAGCAATAAAGCAGAGTAACTCCAAACCTATAGGCGATTAAATTTTAGTAAGAGCATATAATGAGCTACTGAATCAAAGAATGTACAGTATTCTTCAGATAGTTGTGAGTGTTGTGGAGAAAATAAAACTAAAAAGGAAGAAAAAGAATACTAAGATCGTGATTTTACATGAAGTAGTAGGAGCTACCTCATATAATAGTACTAAGGAAAGGCCTTAACTATGAAAGTATCAAGACATGAAAAAGTGAACCACGTAGATATCCTGAAGAAAAAATAGACAAGGACACGCAGAAGCTTTGGAGGACAGGAACCAGGCTTGGGGAGTTTTAGCAGTGGTGAGAAATCCAGCGTGGGTGGGCAGGGAGGGAAGGGAAGAGTTATCTAGATAGGATTAGAGAGCCATTAATGCTCAATCATGAGGCCTCACAGGCTGTTTTGATTAACAGAGGACAGGGGAAGGCAGTAGTGGGTGTTAAACACAGGAATGGCATGATTAACTTGCAATTTTAAAGATCCACATGGATGCTGTGGAGAGAATGGACTCAGACTGCGGAAGAAAACCAGTTAGAGGGAAAGAACCCGAAAAGGAGATGACAGAGACTTGGAGCAGTGTTTGTGGTAGCAGTTTCAGTGCTGAAAAGTGATATTCTGGATAATCGTGAAGGTGGAGCCAGCAAAATTCACTGAGACTGGATGCGAGAGAGAAAGAGGAAATCAATCAGAGGCTAATTCTTCTGATAAACGGCCTGAGCAGCTGGAAGGCCATAGCTGCCTTCTACGAAGAGAAAGCTGCAGATGGGAACGTGGCGGTGGGAACCAGGTGTTTCGGCATTCTTTTCCACTTTAGGAAATGACTGAGAGAAGAGGAAAACAGTAACAGTAAAGGAAATGGTTCACGAGCATTTGTGGGCTGGCCTCTACGTCCATGTTACAATTTCTTCTTTGGATACATCATACCATGACTATTTTGTTCACTAATGTTGATTTTGGGTCATTCATTTTCCTATTCGGTTTATAAAATCTTTCAAATCATTTACATTATTAATGTGACCCAAATATTTCAGGTGTTGCACTAGTTGCTAGAGGGGAGAAAAAGCAATAAAGATGTGGAGCTACCTTTTAGAAGAGATATGACGGGGTGACATCAATATTTCTTTAAAATATGACAGTCGACTGGTAACCTACATGGTAACAGTAGCGAATTTAATAGGCTCCGTTGTGGCTACTAGGTGACTTTTGACTTCCGGAGGCCTCTAGTACTTGGGGGTCGCCGTCAACCCGGCCCCGCCTCGCCGGAGCGCCCCGCCCCGCCGCGCACTGCATGCTGGGAGTCGTAGTCCAGGCTGCCCGGTCCAGAAGGACTGAAGGGCACAGGAGTCTAACCCGCCCCTTGGGACTGCAGGTTACCTCCCTTAGCAGCTCCCTAGCTTCTCTCGGGCGGAGCGTTCCCTAAGCACGGTTGAATTTGTGCCACCGTCTCGCATCTGGCTTTCAATAAAGTTTTCCTCTTCCTCCCGCCGTACGGAGCTCAAGATGGCGGCCTCCTGGTCGCCCTTGGTTATCCTGCGCTCCTTACGGAGCCGGCTGAGTGGGACTTGTGTGGGGTGCGGGGTCCGGGCCGCCGCTCTCGCTGCTCCGGCCACCGCCCCTGGGAGGCCCCGTTGGAAAGGTCAGTGACTGTGCCACGAGCGGCCGGGCCGGCTGTGCCTCGGACCGGAGGAGGGCCGGGTGACCCTTCCTCCCCGCAGTCTCCCGGGTTCACGGTTTCTCGGAGCCGAGGGCCCCTCGGGCGCCGTTTGCTTAATTCTCTAGCCCCTTTTATGCTGCCTGGCCGAAGGGTAGCCCAGAGTACCTAGGAGGCCGCCAGCAGCGAGGACCCCTGTTCGTTCCTTGGTCGACCCCGGAGCGAGCTGGGCGGGGTCTGGGTCCCCACGCTGCCGCCCCCGCCCCCGGGCTGCTGAGGCCGGGTGACTCCGCGCGGGTGAGGAGCCAGCCCCCCCCACCGTGACCCGCAGCGCTGCTGCCGCACCCCGGGAGCCCGGGCCGGAAGCCTCCTCGCAGGAGCATGGATTCTTGAGGCTCAAGCTGCCTGAGGCGTGTGGGGGTGTATTCTGCCGCTGAGCTTTCTTCATTTATTCATTCACTCATTCACTCATGCACTTGTTTATGAATGGATGAATGCATATGTTGAGTCACCACAGGAGTGCGGATTTCACCCACTAGCCGTTAGGTGGCCAGTGACATGCAGGTTACTCAGGCAATGACCGATGGTACTTGATGGCAGGTACAGTTTGAAGTTTTTCTCATCCACTTACGTACACTTTACTTTTTCTCGGCTTGAAGCCTCCTGTTATATAATTTAATAATTATAATATGCCTTAATAAGGTATATTCTTTAGCCTTGGGTGGTGGTGCAGGCCTGTACCCCCAACGTTCTGGGATGATGAGGCAGGAGGATCACAAGCTTGAGCCTGATCTGGGCACTTTAGTAATTTAAGAGACTCTGCCTCAAACAAAACAAAACAATACAAAACAAAAACTCAAAACAAAGAGACTGGATATAGCTCATTGGGAAGGCCCTGGAGTAAAAACAAACACTTAACAATATATATGTATAAAATCTTAGGCTTTTTCACAAAATTCAATTTAATTCACTTAATGTATAATGGTACACTTTGGTAATTACACTTTAAGTCATAATACAAATTTTATTTTTAAAATAGTAGATAGGGCTGGGGGTTTAGCTTAACACATTCAAGGTTGTGAGTTTGATTTTTTATGCTGAAAAAATCAATTCAATAAAGGCAAGTGGGTACGAAAGATATGGTTCTTTTTTTGTTTTTGTGAAACCAGGTGTTGAACTCTGGCCGTTGCACTTGCTAGGGAAGCGCTTATTTCATCGAGCCATGTCCCTGGTCCCTTTTTTTGTATTTTTAAGGAAAGGTCTACAGGGTTTTCAGGGTCTCACTACTAGATCAGACTTGTAGTGATCTGCCTGTTTACAGCCTCCCAAGAGCTGGGATTACAGGCCCAAATCACCTAGCCCAGACTCAATTGCAGTCTCAGTGGTGCCCCCGGGGTTGGGGCCCGGCACTGGCACGGCAAGCCCAGGGATAGAACCTTTGGCCCCTGCTCCTGTTTACAGGCGCTTTAATCCGCTGAGCTACTTGGCCAGCCACAAAAGATAAAAATTATAATAAAATGTAAGAAAGGTTTACTATAAACCTTTACTATAAAAGGTTATAGTAAAATGTAAGGCTGTCCTCTGTCCCTATTTTTTAGCTGCTTTGTTTTTCCTCTTTTTCTGAGTTGTTTCTTATGTATTCTTTACAGACATGTTATGCATGTAGAAACATGTATATGTGAGTACATACATATATCTGTATCAAAAGTACAATTGATAAGATACTAAGTACACCACATGTATATAGAACAGTTTTATTAACTTTTTGGTTTTTGAGACAGAGTCTTGCTCCTGCAGCTCAGGCTGACCTTGAATTCACTATGTAGCATAGTCTATACTCAAACTCAGAGAACCTCCTGCTTCAGCCTTCCAAGTGCTGGGATTACAGGAGTGTGCCACCATGCCCAGCCTATTAACTATTAATTTCTTTTTCTTTTCTCTTTTTTTCCCATTTAATCTATTTTAGAGAACCAAGGCGTGGTGTTGCACGCTTGAAATTCCAGCACTCTGCTGAGGTAGGATTGCAAGTTTGAACCCAGCCCTGGCAATTTAAAGATTTAGCAAGACCCTATTTCAAAATAGAAAAAAAAAGCTCGGTGGACTGAGTTTCTGCTTAGGCAAGGGCAGGGTCTGGGTGCGATCCCCGGCACCACAGGCTGCACCGACCTTGCCCCCTGTGCGCTGAGCCAGCCACTAAGACCTGGGCATGGTGCTGTGCACCTGTAAAGCCAGCACTAGGAAGGCTGAAAACAGAAGGATCACTAGGAGTTGGAGCTGCATAGTGAGACCCTGTACCAAATACATTTGAAAAAAAAAAAAGAAAGAAAGAGAAAGAAAAAAGAAAGTAAAGAAAAGGAAAAGGGCTTGGGAGGTAGCTCAGTGACAAGGCCCTGGATTGAATCTCCAGGAGTAGGAGGAAAATACGTATATATTTATAATATATGTATCTTGGTAATCACTCATATTAATAAGTATAGCACAGCTTCCTATTTTCAGACTGTTAAGATAGTATTCCATTGTATGTATGCACCATAATTATGAAAATTAATATTTAAGGAACATCTTTACCATAACATGTATGATTTACTGAATGCTGAATGCTTGTTCTGTGTCATGTGATATGTTAAATGCTTTCTGATATGTTACTTTACTTAATCCTCATTCTCATTCTGGGGGGTCATGAATCCAAAATTGCACATTTTTTTTTTTTTTTTTTTTTTTTAAGACAGGGTCTTGCTATGCAGCTCAGCTTGGCCTTGAGCTCACTTTGTAGCCCAGGCTGGTCTCAACTTGCAACTGTCCTCCTGCCTTAGCCTCCTGAGTAAGTGCTGGGATTACAGGCATACACCACCACATCCGGCTTGTACTCTCCTTCCTCCCTCCTCCCTCTCTCCCTCTCTCCCTTCCTTCCAAAGGAAAGCAGCTAGCCATGTAGCAGGGCAGGGTGGCTGCCATCTGTTTGCAAAGAGCCTTTTATGCTAAGTGAAGATGTCTGTTCAGGATTTTTGTTTTGGAACTGGGAATTGAACTCAGGACCTTGTGCTTGCCAGCAGACACCGTGCCACTGAGCTATACCCCTGGCCCTAAGCAGATTTCTGAGCTCAGTGGACTGGTGGTACAATGATCAGTACAGCAATCATGAACAATAAAAATAAAACATCTTTTTAAAAAGGAAAATTAATCAGAGCTATGTTAGTGTGTTTACCCTGGCAGCTGCCTGGAAAACAGGAATGCTTGACTGGGGGAGTATTGGGACTGGGTTGACGGTGTAAAAGGAAGCTGACATAGTACAGTGAGAGGCAGAGACAAGGGCATGGGACGCTTCTTAGGTCAAACTGATAATCCTGGGGGAGGTAAAGAAACCAGTTAAGTATCAACTTTAGGTTCCTAGTTTGGGTAATTTAATCAACAGAAACCTGACCAAGACAAAATAGGACCAGAAGCATTTTAGGGAGGATTCAGTTTTGATCTTGTTGCATTTGAAGTATTTATGACAATACCAGTGAGCATTAATTGTAGGACACAGGAGAATCTAAGTCTCTGAAAGGAAGTAGGAGGTAGTGGGAGCTATGGTAAGGAAAGAATGGCCCTGGGGTATTGAGAATGAAAAGCAAAGGGTGACTCTGTGACAAAAATGGACTTTTTATGATCTTTCTGAATCTGTGTTGTCTAACTCCTGCATGCCTTTAACTGCGTAGTCTTCTTTACTTATTTATTTATTTTGCCTTGTTTTATGTTAAGACAGTTTCATTCTATAGTCCTGGTTGGTCTTAAACTCACTGTGTGGCCCGGGCCATCCTCCTGCTTCAGCCTCCTCAGTATTGGGATTACAGATAAGTGCAAGCATTCCAGCCTAACATTTATTTATTTATTTAAATTTATTTTTTTGGTGGAACGGGGGATTGAACTCAGGCCCTTGCGTTTGCCAGGCAAGCACTTATTCTACTGAGCTATCTCCATAACCCCCACCATCTCTTATTTAGTAAGCACAGATAGGAGATTGTTCCCAACTGAGTATCAGTGTGAGTAGAACACAGCCTCCTTAGCCATATGAATTGGTAGAATTTATTAATAGTACAGCTCAGTGGTTAAGCAGCTGGCCTTTGGGTACACTGTATATTACCCAATCAGACTATCTTTGTGTAAAACTTATTTTGTGTTTGCTGGATTTCTATTAAGGTTATCATATTAAAAAAAATGTTCATGCCTGCTCTTGAGACTGATTAACTTAATGATAATGGAGAGGTTTTTTTGTTCATTTGTTTTTGAAGACTGTTACTATTTTTTAAGCTTAGCATAAATTTTTCTATAGCTAGAGCACTTGCCTAGCCTACACAGGCCCCAGCATGGGTTCTGTTCCCAGCACAGAGAGGGAAGAACAAATAAAACTGTGCTGGGATGTGGCTTAATGGCAGAGTGCTTACTCAGCTTGCAATACACACACACACACACACACACACACACACACACACACACACACACGGTATGTAGACATAGATGGAGTACTTTATTTGTTTATTTATTTTCACTTTCCTCTGATCATTTACTTTATTTTTTTATTTTATTGAGAAACAAATATGAATGAGACAGTTTCAAAGCTGATTAATAGGATAGTTTCAATAATCAATACATTGGGGCCGGGAAGATGGCGCAGTAGAATAAGCGCTTGACTGGCAAACTCAAGGATCTGAGTTCAATTCTCGGTTCTGCAAAAAAAAAAAAAAAAGCAATACATTGTACATTGTTATCTTCTTAGTGGTTATCCATAGTACAAGAAGCAGACAGGCTATCCTGTCCAAACACTATTAGTACATATCTTTCTTCTCATTGAATTAAGTGAAAGTAGCTGTATATCTATCCTAACTATTTTGTATATACAAACACAAAATGTTCCTACTTTTGTATCCCCCCCTTTTTTTTGTTTAGTCCTGTCAGAGGTGGGTATTCTATTGACATCTAAATACTATAGGTGCTCGAATTCAGCA